CATTGTATTGTACTGGGTTTGGTTTGGCTTTGTTTGTTTGGTTGAGGTTGTGTGTGATTGCTTGTTAGCTTTTTTTTGTGTTTGTTTGTCTGTCTGTCTGTGTGTCTGTTTGTTTGTTTGTTTGTTTGTTTGTCTGTTTGTTTGTTTGTTTGTTTGTTTGTCCGTCCGTATGTGTGTTTGTTTGTTTGCTTGCGTGCTTGTTTTTCTCTTTAGTTCGTTATTTCTTCCTTGCATTCTTTGCTAGGTTGCTTGCTTGGTTGCTTGCTCTTTTGCTTGCTGGTTTGTTTGCTTGCTTTATTGTTTCCTTTACTTGCTTGCTTTCTTGCTTGCTTGTTGTTTTTGTTTTTGTTTGCTTGCTTGCTTGCTTGCTTACTGGTTTTCTTGTTTGTTTGTATGTTTGTTTGTCTGTCGGTTTTTTTTGTTTGTTTGTCTGCCAGTCTGTCTGTTCAACAACCGCTGCACCCATGCTGGCACAATGATAATATACACGCCTATGCGCATCCACAACCGCTGCACCCGTGCTTGCACAGAAGGGAACAAACACGTTCACGCTTGGTGTTTTTTTCACTGACTGAACTTTAGTTTTGGCTTCGCAGCCCGGCGTGCAAGTTCGGGACAAAAGTTCGTTGAAACTCTGTTTGAGCCAGCGCCGTGACTTGAGAAGGCGCGCCGCTTCAATCGTGCCAGGTGGGCTCACGGCGGTGTTATCTGTTTGTGTGTGTGTGTTTGTTTGTGTGTTTGTTTGTGTGTTTGTTTGCGTGTTTGTTTCTGTGTTTCTGTGTTTGTTTGTTTGTTTGTTTGTTTGTTTGTGTTTGGTTGGTTGGTTGGGTTGGTTGGGTTGTTTTGTTTTTTTTGTTTTCCCGCCAAATTGGGGGCCAACAACTGGGGGCCAACAACTGGGCTGCCTCATGTGCAATGCGTGCAGGGAGTATGGCAGCTGTCTGACATGCAAGCGGTTCTCCGGGTGGAACTGCGTGTGCTGTGAGTCGGGCTCACCCATCCCACGGTTGTGGAGCATTTGTGTCACCCGATCGGTGGTTGGGCTTGGTTGGGAAAAGCACAAGTTCCTCGTAATCAATGTGGCAAAATTGGGTTTACGGAAAGGCAGCTTTCTGTGGGTAGCCAAAGGAATCCCTCAGCTGAACTCCGAACTAGCCCTAAACCTTGCCCCCACAATACATGGTTGTGGCAAACTGGTTTTAGTTAGCCGCTGTTTGTGAGTTGCCGCGGGAATTTCCGATGGGAATCCCACTTTGGCATCACAGACGTGATTTCCACAACTATGTGCTCACGTGGATCCGAGGACCCAGTCGCCCAGGACGTTTTATCACTTTGCTTGGGTAATCCGTCAAATTTAACCATCAAGGGCAAAATTGCCGTTTTCCAAGGCCACTGGGCAGGATCCGAAGAACCACCTGGCTATAGGTCGTGTCATTGCCAGGACTGCTCGCAGGTTGCGTATACACAAGAACATGATTGCACATACGAAGACGGTTCAATCTGGAACCCCAAATGGAGAAGTTAGATGTCGTTTCAAAAAAACTCATGTGGAAGGTTGCCCGTTGGCTTATCAGATTTGGTGCGTCAGATTCGTTTTGGTTATCCGCGGCTCTCTGCAAGCCCGCCTTGCGCGCCCACCAGCATCGCAAAAAACAACTCATAGTGAGACGCCGGGGATGGCGATGGCATTCTCGTCAAAACCTTTTGGGTATGTTGTGTTTCGAGAGCACGCTTTTCAGGTTGAGACCGAGGGGCTGGGGCATGACTCCCATCTAGAAGTGGGGATGATTAGGTGATAGGATGGGGGAAGCTTTGGAGGGCAGCTTCGTTGACAATTCCTGAGCAGAGCAAGGGGCTAGCCGGAGATAGATAAGGAACAACATCCCAGCTCAGTGTTTGCACCAAGATGCTCAAGATTACACGCCTTCCATTCTCTCAAGTCAATTGTGTGTTTTTACTTGTTGGTTTCAAAGGTACATGGTCATGACTGCTAGTTTAGTTTGAATGGCAACAAAAGCACAAGCCTCCGGGCATGTGTGTTTCCAATGTTGTTGTTAGCGTCACCTGGGCAAACGCTAGGGCCAGGTTTCTTCTTTGTTTGAATTTCCCTTGCTCCTGACTGGACTGCGAGTGAGTGAGGTGTAGGAGGTGAAGTGCGGGGATGTCAGTGGAGGTGAGTTGAGTGAGTGACGGCCCATAAGACCTGAGGGAAGTCAATAAACGGCGTTCAAAGCACTGACCCAAGCGGTGGTTGCTGAAAGTTTGGCAATTCCATTTGATGCCATTTACTCAAGCTTATTGTGTTATCGATGCTGAGATTGCTCTACTGGTATTGGATGTTTGTTCTCTGCGAATGTTAGCAAGTGAAAGATGATAAGAGTTGCCTACTGCGAATCGGCTTGCCGGACTTGCGCATTTGGGACGCAGTACAAGCTGCACAGGCTATGCCGTGCGGGTAAACAACGTGCGAACAGCATCCGTACATGCTTGTTCATAGCTTGTTCACAGTTGTCCTGACTGCAGTATGGAATGCCGTTCGGCCCAAGAACTTGCTCCATTGGAGCTGTTCTTCTCCGAGGCCAGCTTGTTTTTTCCCGTTAGCAAGTTGGATTATCCCTCTGCCTATCTAACAGTTCACCTTGGGGTAAAACATGATGAAGGTCTTTTGTTTGGGGACCCTCTATTTCATAGTTTGGAAGTATTGCAAAATGTTGGACCCCGCTTTGTCATTGTTCGCAAACTCACGTGTCCAATCGCCCAGTTGTTTCCGGAAACGTGGGTTCAGCTCCAATTTCCCGAAACTCGCCGTCGATTGCCATGGAGAAGCGCGAGGCGCAGTTTTTAGAGCAAACTGCGCCTGAAGTCAACTGAGGCCCCGTCATCCATGCTTGGTCGATTTTTAGGCTTCGGGAAGGGCCTTAAGCCAAACCTGGGAGTCTGGCCTTTGTTTCTTTGTGTATCCTATGTCTAGGGACTTTGATTTGAATGGGGCCCGCGTTTGGTGGTGTTGTGAAGGCGCAGCTCGCGCGATAAAATGTTTAAGGGTCAAAAGGCTCAGCCTTTTTGGAACCAACAAGTGGCAAGCGAAAAGTCGGGTCGCGAAGCCATTTTTTTGGAAACCGGTGGAATGTGCATTTCTGCGGGGCGTGGTCACAGTGGGGCTCAAAAAAAGGCTCGCAGTGTACAAGGCTCGGGTCCAAGCTTTTTTTTGCGAGCTGTGAGCCTTGCTGAAAGTGAGTGGATGGGTTTGGTTATCTTCTCAAGAGTTGCGCGAAACAGTCCTTTGGCCTTTTTGTCATAGGGAGTCCGCGTTGGAGGGGTGAGGGCCTGAAATCAAGTGAGCCTAAATGTGCGAGCCATGCAGGGTTCCTTGTTTGGGGCGTTTGGGTCGCAGGGTAAGAATCGGAGCTCTGTATAGTCCTTGTGGGGGCCTCTACTCAATCCAGGGACTTGTCAACCAAGGGTAGGAGCCCGCCCCAAAACTGCAAGGGTGGCATATTGATTGTTTAACACAGCCATGCATCGGTTTATAATTCGGATCTTTTTAAATTGTGACTCGAAGCACATCTAGAGGAAACGAACCGTTTCTGTTTGTTTTACTACTTTTGGCTACAGCAAGCCGTTGACTCTTTTCCTTAATTACATGTCAAGCCAGGGACAAAGCCCCAGTTGGGCAAAGCCGAGCTAACTCGTGTAGAGACCTCTTGGGGATCCCACTTGATTTCAGACTTTATTTTGGTCGCTTGGGCAGGGACCGGGATCGGTAGTCCTCTTCGTGTCACCGGTCGCTGGCTGGTTGCAGATGTTTGCCTTGGAATGACCACTACCTTCCTCCATGCCCGTACTTGAGGACTAGAGCGGGTGCTTGCTACTAGCGGGCTGTTGGCAGTGATTTACTTGGTATTTAGCCATTGAGAGTTCGAGAGCCAGCCCTGCCTCGCGAATGTTCCTGGCGTGGGACGCACGTGCTTTCAGCTGGCACAAAGAGTCAGGTTGTCTTTGCACTGCAGCTGGGATTGTTTTAGGGAGGACAATATTGTTGTCCCGACATAGTCATTTGACAAAACCGATGCCGTTTGATCCATACCTACCCGGAACCACACCCAAAGGTTTGCTCTGAAAGAACAGAAAGAACCATCCTGGCTACTTGGCTTACGCCTCCAAAGACTCTCCTGTTAAACCCACGCACCTGCAAGACATACCCCCCAAACCAATATGCATAGGGTTTATACACTGCTCTGAGAGAGAGAAAGTTCTTGGCAGAAGATGAGTGTGACACCTGGAACATGGCAAGGTTTTTCGAGGATGCCGGGATGAAACCACAATCTAGTCTCAAAATGTCTCTTTCAAGTTCAGCAAGTGGCGGGGTTCTTAAAATGGAGGCCCTCTTTTGGGCTTCCCCATGTTTGACGGTACTTCACCTTGGATTTGCGATCGGGCGGGCACGCCGTTTCGTTCAGCAAACGAACCCGGGTCCAAACACCGAAATGAACCATTTAAACTCGCCACCGACGTTTGCGTCACCAGGAACGCTTGCTGACGTTTTGCCCTTAGTATGTATGCTGGTTTCCCCAAGTTTGCCTCACTAAAGTCAAGACACTTTAGCCCAATTTGTTAAACGTCGGATGAAGAAAACCTCCCCCTTCCCTCGGGCAGGTGCAAAGAAGCCTAGCTACCTGCTCGGCGTGGAACTCGGTCGAGCTGTCGTCCTTGGTCACAAGCGCATCCTTTAAGGCCTTTCTTTACAAAGCTTGGGTTTGTCGCGGGCCTGGTTTGGCCGAAATTATGTTGCGCCCTTGCCGAAGATTGCGGCTTCCATTTTGCCCTTGCCTAGCAAACAGCTTCACATTTGGAAAAAAACTGTTATCAACTCAAAAATCACTCCGGTTCGGTTCACTTCAGGGAGTGTTGGGTTTTTTCCTGTTCACACCTTCCAAGCCATCTTCGCAAGGTACTCCAAGGCGCCCCTCAAGTTCCTTGGAAAAGGGTCCTGGGAAGGGGTTCCTTTGAATAGCACCCAGTGGCCCTCTGCTCAGACGTGTCATGAAAATCGCTCGTCCAAGCCGAGCGGTTGTGGCTCAGCCGGCAGTCATGGCACCGCGCAAGGCGCGGGGGATTTGTCCCCAGTTCAGCAGATTGTCCTTGAGTTCCTTGTTTGGTGGTCAGCTATAAATACAGTTCCAAGTCAACAATCACGATGACATTTAAGGCCCAGAGGGTTCCTGTGCGGTAGCGTGTCCTTGCCTGAAATTGTCGTTTCATGCATGATTGATTTGGCTCAAGGCTTGAGATTGAAAACAGCGCGCTGCCGCGCGTTGGTCGCCCCTAGGGGAGTAAGGGAGAGGTCGCAGCCCCTTTTGCGTCAACGGTGTTTTCCTGTCTTTTGAGTGGTTATCAGCCGTTTCTTTTTGGGTAACCAATCCCTTCTGTGGCTGCGACCGTCTGACGCTCGTGCATGGAGGTCGGCCCGAGCCGCGGCGCCCGCGGCGGCAAAGGACAGCGCGCTCGCCTCTTTAACACGTTCCAGCAAAGCATTGTAGACGAGTAAGGAGGTTCCGCTGGGTCAAGTTCGTGGGCGCGTCTCAAGAACAAATCGAAGCTTTCTTCACCTGGCAACGTACGCTTAGCCATTGGTACGGCCTTTTGTTATTTCGATAGAGAAGCGTGGGAGGTCATCGATCGTGCTGATCAGGCTTATCGTGACCGCCTAGTTTCTGCAATTGAAACCGCTTCGGCGGCAACTTCAAGCGCGGCGGAGGCGCGGGGTTGCGCTGCGGATTGGCTTCGGTCGCCAACTCCGCCCGCCCCATCTTCGTGGCAGCATCATCATCAGCAGCAGCATCGCCCACCTGCGGAGGCTCGTGAGCAAGCGAGGAGTGTTTCACCACGAACCAGGTCCACAAGGCGGAGATCCACACCGAGCCCCCTGCGCTGTTTAGGCTTGTCGCGCTTAAGCCGCAGCCCAAGGCGCGGCCGCAGACCATCCATAGCAGCAGCGCCCAGTATAGTGTTTGGCACAAGGCCGGCGGAACCTCTTGCAGGCCAGTCTCTCCATCACAGTCGTTTTGGATTGCACGGTGTTTTGGACGTGCAGCAGGACGGTCTGTTCATCAACCGCAATATCGTGCAGCCGCTGCTTGAATTTCAGTGAGAGTGTGCGCCTATTCGGCTTATCATTCTTTGGAAAGGCACTGACATCGCAACGCAGGCACGAGTACGAGGTTGTAGCTCATCAGACAACAGGGCGTTGATTTCTGCAGCGATCCACCTCGTCAACGACAAGTTTGGACGTGGCGGAAAGGCTGACTCACTGCGTGACAAAGGGCCAGAAGACTGCACGCGCAGCGTGCAAAAGTTTCCCAGGTCTTGGCCCAAACAGTTTGGCCAACACGTGGGAGAACGCGAAAGAGTTCATCGAGTTGAGGCCCATATCTTCTATTCGCGACCCTGGGGTCCCCAGGCCTGAGGACTACTTGGCCGAGATACAGAGATCAGCCTCTTGGATTCCCCGCCCGGGAGTCCTCCGATCATCTTGTGCTTGGCAACTTGAAACCGGCGCGTAGCGCGGTGTGTGCAACATCATCCTCTACCAGCCCACGTTCCTATTGACAGGCGCACTTTTTGAGTGCAGTTTTCTCCACTGACAAGCCGGCAATTCCATTTTGCAAATCAGTGCAGCTTGCAATACCCACAGCACAATAGCAAGTGTTCAACACGAGCAACTGCGGCACAATACAGTACAAGTGCAACACAGCTTGGCGATTTTCTTGAAGGAACCTCTTGAATTGTTGCCGCTCAAGGCGCAGTGCACGCACAGACATTCGTGTTGTTTCTTATAGCTTAGTAGTCTTTAGCTATCAATCCTGGGAAAGTGTACATTGCACGTTAGCACGCTGCTCAAAGCGTGTGAAGGTAGTTGTGTGTGTGTGTGTGTGTGCGCATAAAAGTGCAACACTGTGAGGTTTTCAGACTCACTCTGACCACGTTTCAGGTCCACCCCAAATAGGGATTCGGAAGGCGAGGAGCCAGACCTAGCCATGATACCCACCGTTACGTTTACGATACGCACTTCCACACCACGACGTGCTGCGCAGACACGACCAGCATCCACTCCAGAGCGGACCCATTGTGTCTGAACCCTCACCATCAGAGCCCCCATCAAGAACCATTCCCAATCCAGACCCGTTGGCCAGCACACTCACCGCTGTATCGATTGGCGCCCAGGCGGCAAGTCTAGCCCTTCTTCAGCAACAAGCTAGGTTGGGCGGGTGAGGGAACAAGCCGTTAGGGAGGCGACCGACATGAGGATACAAGCATCACACTTGGCTTCACAAGCGCGACAAGCAGTAGCCACAGCGCAACGAAGCGAGGCGCAAGCGCGGTACATAGCGCAGCAAAATGAGGCGCAGGCGACACAGGCTATCGAGCAAGCTTAGCAGGAAGCCTTAGGCCATGTTGAGCATGCTCGTCAAGCCGCTAGTGCGACTCGGCAGGATGCGCAAGTGGAGGTTCGCATCGCCCAAGAAGCTCAACAGGCAGTTACCCAAAGAGATCGAACAATCGAACAATTGCCCAACATGAGCAAGCAATTCGTGGGTTGTCTCAGGGCAATTCCTTGATGCACCAACAACTTGGGGATCTTGAGCGTGTTGTTGCTGCCCTCAAACAAGCCCACGCTACCCCTGTGCCCGCGCAAGAGCAAGGGATCGCAACGAATGCCGGAACAGCTACGGATCAAAGTTCAGGCTAGTTTCAGGCTAGTTCAAGTCAGGGTCAAGTTACCCTAGGTGCCCCTCGACTGGTTGGAGCGCTTGATGGCTCACAAAGGGTTGAAAGTGCTGCCGCATATTTGCAAGGGACGGCTCCAAACAGCAGTCTCCCCGGCCCTCGCGTGGTTCTGGCAACAGCCCGGAACCTGGGCAACGTGCGCCGGCTGAACCAGAGGCTGCTGTAGGGAACACCCGGGCCCCATCCATAGGCAATCCTGCAGCCGCGACTTCCTTTGGAGACGCAACCATTCAGGGCAACAGTTGGGTGGGTCAGGGGACGACACAGAGGTGGGGAGCAGACAACGGCATGAGCAGATATGGTTCAGCAGCTTTGCAAGTGGTTGCTAATCAAGTGGCTCCGCCACTTCCGCCTCCGCATGATGCGCAACCCAGGAAGAAGAAAGCGCGCCGCTAGTCGCAGACTCCAGCCACACCAGCACCGAAGACAAAGGGTCCCAATCCCCCGCCGCCAAAAGCTAACGCAGCACCGGCTCCGAGTAAGGCACAGGGCGCCAATAGCTTTAATCTTACTCCTAGGTCTAAGGCCGTCAGCAAGGCAGCCAAACTGATCCGGCCAAGAAGGCAAAGACTCCGTGCGTGTTCTATGCGTACAACTCGTGCACGGCCAAGCAGCGCGCTTCCTCACACAGTGATGCAAACAAGTACACTGGCCCCAAGCGCAAGGTCTGTATAAGTCGCCGCCTCCCAAGGCACGCGCTGTTGCTCAGCGCATTCCTGCCATGGCGAGCGTGGCTTCGGAGGACAAGGCATTAGCTGGCTTTGGGGCACTGCAGCTGGGAGAGACTTGGCCGGCCCTCAATAGCAACATGATCAAGTGCGTCCGCGAGAACACGCCCGTTGGGTTTTGCGACTGGAGGTGCTGCCCAGCAAGGCGCTTCATTGGGGTTTGAGGAGGGGGTCCAACCCATGATATTGTTTTGAAGGCCCAGGCAAAGCCTTGAGAGCACTTGAGATTTAAAATCTAATTTTTGACTGCATCCTCAAAATTGCGGATAGAAAGGATGCCAGAGCTGACGACAAAGTGGATGTCCCAACTGCAGCATTCCAGCAACTAGGCACAGATTCCGTTCTCCTAGTAACGGGTGACGATCACCTGGGTTCAGGAGTTGGTGGCATCAAGTGCACCTCGTACCTCGTGCCATCTTTCAGGGGGGCATTTAGGAGAACATTCATGATGGCTGGTTTGGTAGCAAGCCGAACCGTGCACTTGAAGAGTCATGGGCTGGGTTCGCAGTGCTCAAGTTATAACAGGTGCAGCCGTCATGTTAGGTTCTGCTCCGCCAACGTCGCTCACAGAAGCACCAAAGAACTGCAACCCAGATGCGTTGCCAGTCTTCGGCATGCCACGCAATGCCAAGGACACAGCTTGTTCGAAGCCAGTTGTGGTAGAAAATCATCGCGCGCGCAAGCACCAAGCACGTATGGATAAAATACCAGTAATGTTCGAGTATGCATGTTCGGTCGAGGGGACATTCAGTTGGATGCTGAAGAGTTGCGAAAAGCCCAACACGTGGGCTGCAATACCACGCACGTCAGGACCACCGTGGCAACGCCTTCACAAGGCTGAGTCAGTTCAAGAAGAAGTTGAAAGCCAAGGTTGATGAGTCCAAGGCAGTGCTCTTCAGAATCAGGCGACGCTGAGACCGTCCTTCATCAGGGGGGTACGGTGTTGTTTGAGTGGCCAAGGGGTTGCGAGGGTTGGGCCACGGATGATGTTGCTGCATTCTTTCAGGAATATAAGCATGTCTTCACCTTGGTGGCCTTTCACGGGTGCGCCTTGGATGTCCCATCAAGAAACCGTGGAAAGTTGTGACAAGCAGTCCGGCCATTGCAATGGCATTTTTCGAGTTTAGTTTCAGTAAATGGTTCAACCACTCATTGGCCGCAGGGAGTAAGACGGCGCGAACAGCCTTCTTCCCAGAAGGTATGTGGCGTGCCACAGCCCGCACTCTCTATCCGGAAAGCAGACCCGTCGTACCAGCCATGCCTGTGCAAGTCTCGCAGCATAGGGAACGCGAACAGCAGCTACAGCATGTGTCCCCTCTCTCTATCTCTAGTGTAGAGGATATAGACGTTGCCGTCGAGTCCTATGAGAGGTGTCGCAACATTCTTGAAGAAGTTTTTTGATGTTGACAAAAATCTCATGGCGCAGTCCCTTGGACAACCCGAACCCCGAGTTCTAGGTAGGAATCATCTCCGAATTAATGCGCCTTAGGAAGCTGATGAACCAGACTTGAAGGCTGCCACGGGCGCGTTGTTGTCTGCCATGGCTTTTGACACGCGCGACTACGCAAGGCAAACGGTCGCATTACACGCGGGGGTTGCCAAGTCGGACGCTGAAAAGCTGCGCAGTGCCAACACTCCTTTCTGTCCCACAGGTCCTTTGCACGCCGCAGGTGACGCCCTTGAGGGTGAGCTCGGTTTTGCCGCATGTCGTGTGTTAATGAAAGCTCTCTGATTAGAACGTCTCGCGCGCCTTGACTTGATCAAGCCACTGGGAGACCTTGCTTCGCATGCGCAGAGTTGGCCAACTGTGACAGGCTGTTGCATATAATCTGATATGTAAATAGCCTGATAAACAGCACCCTGATAGGAACAGTGCAGGATGAGCCCGATGACTTGCACCTCGCTCTCTATGTGGACGCAGATGGACGCGCGGTGGATTCCTGACACACACCTTTCCCCTCGCGTGGGTGTCGAAGCGTCAGACCTGTGTCACGCTCGACCACAGAAGCGGAAATAGTGTCTCTTGCGTACTTCTCCCCGCAGTCAGCCCTTGGGAGCTAATGCTAGGGAGCCCCACGCATCTCAAAATCCATGAGGGTAATCAGGCGACCATCCTGGTGGCTAAGAAAGGGTTCTTGCAATCAACGCACACACAAGGTACATCTTGCATGCATTGCAGAGAGCAACTTGAGAATGACAACATTCCCATAGAGCATGTGAAGACAGATTTGCAGTCAGCAGATATCTGTACAAAGGCGCTTCAGCCCAACATATGGGATGGCATTCGTGTTGATTTTCCTGATAAGCTAGCAGATGTGCGTGAAAAGGCATCCGCTAAAGCAGCAGCATGATGCGCTGCGCCGAGCCCAAAAATTCAAAATAGAGTTGCTTGAACATCTTGCAGCGGCCTTGGTGGCATAAACTTGGCTAATCGCTCAAGCAATTCCCTCAGTGCCCCCAATGCAGGGGGAGTCAAGAATCACGATGACATTTAAGGCCCAGAGGGTTCCTGTGCGGTAGCGTGTCCATGCATGAAATTGTCGTTTCATGCATGATTGATTTGGCTCAAGACTCACGATTGAAAACAGCGCGCTAGCCCTTGTTGGTCACCCCTTGGGAAGTAAGGGAGAGGTCGCAGCCACGGAGGGGATTCTTTTAAGGTCCCGGGTGTCCCCCCTTTTGTGTCAATTGTGTTTCCTTTTTTTGGCTTTATTCCAGACTGCTGCTTCCCGGCATCCCTGTTGCTTCGTTTCCTCACTTGGAAGCGCGCCAAACGTTTTTCTTGCTGAGTAGTTCGTTTGGAGATAGAGCCAGCCCAAATCTTATGCGAGGTAGTGTTTGCCGTCCTTTGTATCGGTGGAGGTATTTGTTGGTTTGCCGTGAGGATATGAAGGGCGTTGGTCTGCAGATTAAGGAGTCACTTGCTCCGACTTGCCTTTGGGAGACGCAAGGCTCCTCTAAGAGGGGCCGCTTCTTGTCCTAGTTGCGAAAGTCCGGGAGCAACGAAGACTATCAGCTTTGGGGGTGGAAGGATCCCTCCCAAGCAGGTTTCTCACGGGCGCAGGTCCTATATGCATTTGGTCAATACGCCCTCCCATGCACTGTGAAGCAGGTTCTTAATGGGCAGCACAAGCGTCTTTCCACAGGGGTTTTGTGGTTTGTGCTTCCCATGAAGTATGGCGAGCTCACACACGGACAGCGGGAGCTTCACAACTATGCTCCTCAAGGGATAACTCATGTAAACGAGCCGCTGTACTTGGCGTGTGCTGCTTAGCTCGGCTTGTTTTAAGCGGTTCGGATGATGCTCAGATACTCATTTCGTGCCATGTTTAATCAATAGTCCCGTGCGCTTTTGTGCTTCCCATGTGTTCTGAGAGCCGCAGGTCCCAGGCCCGAAATACCGGAAGTTCTGGCAGGAGTACCCAGGAGTGGATCGGGGCTTTGCTTAGTGACGGCTACTGCTTAGTGACGATCGAGGATCAAAGGATTGGGGGGGGTGGATGAGCTGAGCATGCAGAGCATGCCATCACATGTAGGACCACATGGCATTCAGGCTAACATGTGTACTCTCACTGGACTGTCCTCGCGCAGAAATCAGCAGCCGGCGCTTTAAGCCAACTGCTTAAGAATTTGGTGTGGCAGTGTTGTTTCCGGGACAACGCCTTCAGAGGCAATTGGCCCATCGCACAATAAGAAGTTGATTGGGCCATTGTTTGGGAAGCCTTTTATCTTGGATGTTGAGAGGAGCCATCGCAAAGCCAGCAATTTTGGCCCCTGGTTTTGACGTCTGCCCCTTTTTGAGTGTTCAGCCGGTGGCTTGTCCGAATAGTTTATAGCTTCCCTTGTCCGATCTTCTGGGGATGGGGACGCAGCCCCTCAACTGGCATCACATGACAGGACAGTGCATTAGTGGGGCTGGGACCGAGAACTGATCACCCCCACTGCCAAAATCAAGTTCGGGCTGGAAAAGAAGAAATTGTACTTAAAACTGTCAAGAAACTACCGAGAGCCTCTTGCAATTCAAGAGATTCGAAGCTTCTACCCTTTCTTGAAGAACAGAATGGGTCCCGTTGGTAGATGCAAAGGAAGCAAACTAACATTGAAACTGTGTTGGAGGGGCTGAAAATGGTCATGAACCCTTAGAGTTTGCTCACAGCCTCCCACCGAGTTTGCTGGCAAGTAAGTCTTGTGGCCCTTGGCCGTGCTCTTTGCGTGCTTGTCGTAGGGGTGCGCATGTGTGTGTGGTGTGTGTGTGTGAGTGTGCGCGTGTGCGTGTGTGCGTGTGCGCGCGCGTGCGTGGGTGTGGGTGCGGGCGTGGGTGTGGGTGTGGGTGTGTCTGTGTCTGTGTGTGTATTTTTGTGTGTGTGTGTTATGTGTGTGTGGGTGCGTGCGAGCGTGCGTGGGTGAGTTCGTGCATGCGTGTTCGCGTGAGCGCGTGCACGCGTGTGTGAGTCTGTGCGACTGTATGTGAGTCTGTGTGTGTGTTTTGTGTTTGGTTGTGTCTTTGTTTTTGTGCGCCTGCGTGTGGTTACAGACGAGCTCACAGTCAAGCACGCACACACAAACACCTACGCAAACATGCACGGAGAGACACAAACGCAAGCGTCAGGCGCGTTTGTGTGCGGTTGTGCTTGTGCTTGTGATTTTTGTGTGCTTGTTTGCTTGTGTGCTCGTGTGCTTGTGTGTTTGTGTTTGTATTTATGCGGGCGCGTGCCTTTGTGTCTACGTTTGTATGTGTGTGTGTGTGTGTTTGTTTATGTGTTTGCGTGTTTGCGTGTTTGCGTGTGTGTGTGTGTGTGCGCGTTTCCGTGTGCGCGTTTCAGTTCGTGTTGCTGCACGCTCTTGACTTGTTGTGTGTGTTTTTGTGTTTGGGCATGTTGGGCGTGTTTGCGTTTGTGTCTGCGTGTTTTGCATGTGTGTTTGCGCGTTCGTGTCTCTATGTCTATGCGTTTGTGTGTGTGTGTGTGTGTGAAACCGCCGCGCGCACGGAGGCATGGCGTCACTGCCACGCGATGTATAGATGGTTTCCACAGGGGGGCTTGGGCCCATGTGCCTATCCAGTCAATATAACTAACGTGAAGCCATCGGTCTCGCCAGATTTTCAACCGAATTATTCCATTGTCTTGCGCTCCAAAGTATATGTCTCTTGGCTCGTCCGACAAGGCGCCGAGTCAGACGGATCCCTCACAGGAGAATACTGTTGTTCAGGGCACCTTTTCGGTGCTGGATTTTTGAGGTTTTCCTCCAATAATTGGTCCCTCCGCTTTCACCGCCTGTTACTTCAGATGCAGATTCAGCACTCAGACCCCTGTGGCGTGAGTCTGCTGCTTGAGGTCTTCAGGTTTGTTTGGGTTGTCCTGCGTTGCCCTTCTCGCCATGCGGGCTCAAAACCAGCCAAGTGATGCGCGTGAATTCTTCAAATCCTTCCAACTGCGCGACCATCAGCCAGAGTGTTTTGATAGTATGACATCCCAGCATGTGGAGTCAGTGATCGCAGTCGCTCGCCCGGAGTTCTGGTATTTTCGCTCAAACAGCGACGCCGGCGCCATCTTCAGATCCTGTCGGTTTTCAAAAACCGGCGCCTGAAACGCCGAACAATCACCTTCGACGACGCTGCATTCATCAGCAACCACGGGAACATTCGACGGTCTATGGACTCACGCGACCGACCTCGTGCGCGTCCGGGCGGCCGTGACGACTATGCACACCTCCTGCGCGCTCCAGCCGCCATGGACACGGGCACCATGATCACGCGCATCAGCTTCGTAATGAACGTCCGGACCACCGCCGTCGTTCACCTCATAATTGCAGGCCAACCAGAAGAAGATCACCGGAGCGAACCGCCGCACCTCACAAATCGACCAACTCATCTGCTCAATCCAAAATTGCGCCGCGAAAACCAACCCCAGCCGGACTCCTATTTTGGCGGAAATTCCTCCGGAAGACCGCGTGCAAGCGAAGCTCTGGACACCACCGCGACAAAGAAGTTGCTGAAAGAGGTTGACCCTCATCTTCCTTCTTCCTTCCCCTCACGCGCAGGTCCTCGTCAACGCGGTTCTTGGAGCCGGTGTCCATGTCCACCGGGAGGACGTCTTCTCGTGAACTTACAATGAGAACACCATGCGCATGACAGGCATCCGTTTGAGTTTTCGCGATGCGGCGCCATTTGGCGCCGTGGCCCAATACCGTTACTTTTGGGCGCACGGCGCCAAGCGGCAAGGCGCCGCTGGGATATTGAAAGACCGTACTATTCGTCCCAACGCATGGGGCAACAGATTCCCGTCCTTCGGATTCTGCGGCTTCGGCGCGCAGGGACGCCTGAACCCGGACAACGCCCATGACCTCCTGCGAAAGCTGTACAAAGCTGTACTGCGTTGGAAAACGCATCTTGGGAGACTAACGCATTCAGGAGGTGTTTTAGAAGTACAGCAGTTGTGCCGCCATCATCACAGGGCCGTGGCAGCGACGACTGGAACGTTTCACGCAGCCCACATACCCATCCGTGAGATCGGTGCAACCTCTTTAACTGTGATCCTGACCAGTGTACCTTCGGCATCCGGACGTGCGGTGTCACTTCTTCCGTTTCACCGCCACAACAATGACGAGTCGACAGAACAATCCTTTCCGTGTGTCACCTCTTCGTTTCACCGCCACTTCGTTAGGGTTGGCCCCCCCCCCGTGAACTTCCGTCGTCTGGTTCCTTTTTAAGGATCCACGCATGACCGTCTCACCCGATCTCTGATCAATACACCCTCGCAGCCTTGAAAGATCAGATTCACTGTGTGGCACCCCATTGTGGCGCCCCAAAACCGACCAGATCTAATCCATACGCGCGGCAACAGCAGCACTGCCATCATGGGCTTATCCACCGGGGACACCCCCCCCACTGCGGACGCCTGAGAAAATGTTCATCCCGCAATGCTTGCCCATGCTCTTCAGAACTGACCCCACGCAACTGTGATGAGTTGTCTGCAAGGTGTCTTAAGACACGCGCAATTGGTGTAAAAACGAGGTTAATGGCTTGTTTCATTCAATCCGCGAACGTGTTTCTATTTCATTGGTTGGGTTCTCGCCATGACACGTTCGCCATTGACCACATGACCGGACTTGCGCGCCTTTCTATGAAAAGTTCAAGCGCTTGGTAGGTAGGCCAGAAAGCGTGTGTTTCCTCTGTGTTGACAGAAAAAACTGGGTTTTCTAAAGAATACGGCATCTTGAGCCCACCTAGATCTATCTTGAAATCATCATATATTAAACCATCTTGAGTTCATCTTACATTCAGCGTAAACATCTTAAACTTCATCTTAAATGTGTCTTAAACCGTCTTAAACTGCAAGCTTACATTGCTGCAATTTGTATGTGCCTTAATCCTGCAGTTTCTCGTCAGTTTTGTCAGGTTGATGTTGCGTAAAGCAGAGAAATGACCCAGGCGCAACGTTGCAGCAAGACAGTGCGCAGGCCGACCGTCCACGTTGGAATTGTACACCTTTGCGTGTGCAGGTTCGCTTAATGTAGTCTTAGCGCTGGGCTATGAATTTTAAACAAAGAAAACGTCCATGCAAACATTCGAAGCGCCATGTTGTTGTTCCTCATTTCTTACCCAAAACTAGACCAACAAATCAACATTTCCGTAAGTAGCATAACTAGGTTAAACATAATTAGCACTACTTTAGACTCTAAGTACCGTAACTGGCAGTTACGGGGATTTGTAGTTATGTTACTTACCAAATCACTTACGGGACTTATAACATATGTTGCGGAACTTATAGCAGTACTTGTAAGTTCACCAACTGGCCACGGGAACTCTAGTACTCCGTCTCCTCGGACGACCGCGACAACGCCGACAAAGCCGACCACGGCTTCCAACCGACCACGCCCCCAACACCCCACGCACCGTCTACGAATGTGCCCAATACGGGGACACCTAGAAACACACGCACGGCCCTTCCGCAACGCGCACCCACCACGTGAAGCCAAGAACGCCATCCCCGCCAAGAAAATTCCCATTGGAACGTCCTCCATCATGCGGTTTGCGCGCGTGATGTCGCCGAAGCAGTTCTTTTGGCCGAGCGCTACACGAGGACGACAGTTCCATCTCGACGGTATTGCCGCAACAGCTGATGGTGGTGCGTTAGATCGAGTTGCCTGCGTGACTCTTTTGACCAAGCGCTTCATTCAGGTCATGGTCGGCCTCCAGCCCGGCGTGGCCGCAGACGGCAACGCCCAACAGCGCATCGTCCGGCTCAAAGCGGAGGTCGCCCAGCTCAGGAACCGAGACAACCAGGCAACCACCGCCGAAGCATCCCAGCCATCCGTGATCACTGCGCTTGCCAAGCAGAGCTCCAAACCAGCCCCGGCCAATCCCACCAACCCCGGACGGTACTCCCGAGCCCTGGACAACTCAGGAGCTAT